CAACCTGAAATTTATGTTGTCGGATACTAGTATGACTACCCCAGCTTTCTTGAGGGAGCTGTTTGCTTGCAGGATTGTTTTCTATCCTTTAACTTTGAGTCTGTGTTTTCTCTGACTGTTCAGATGAGTTTCTTGTAGACAGCAGAATGTTTGTTTAAGCTTCTGGTTCCATTTTGCCACTCTGTGTCTCTTGATTGGTGCATTTAGATCATTGACATTGAGAGAGATTATTGTCATGGGATTTTGTGCCATCTTTCTGTAGGGGTTGGTTGTGCTTATAAGTGTTTTCCTTCTTATCTTACAGGAGCCCCTTTAATTCTTCTTTTAGGTTTGGTTTTGAGTCTATGAAGTTCCTAAGCTGTTGTTTATCTATAAAATGGTGTATTGTTCCATCGAGTTTGAGTGAGAGTTTAGCGGGATAAAGTCTCTTAGTGAGGCGTTCATTTCATTGAGTTTTTTTTAACTATATCCTACCATTGTCTTTGGGCTTGGAGGGTTTCCTCCGATAGGTCTGCTGTAAATCTAAGGGGTGCTCCTTTGTATGTGATTTCCTTCTTTGACCTTGCTGCTTGCTGTATTGTGTCTTTATCCACAGCATCCATCATTCTGACTATGATATGCCTTGGAGTGTTTTTATTCGGGTCTCTTTTGCTGGCACCCTTTTGGCTTCTTGGATTTGGATGTTTGCATTCTTTAACTCTGGAAAGTTTTCAGCAATTTCTTTGACTGTGGCTTTTTCATTGGGGTTGCCTCTCTGTCCTTCTGGTACTCTGATGATTCTAATGTTGTTCCTCTTGGTGTCATCCCGTAGGTCTCTGATTCCCCTTAGAGCTATTTGAGGTCTTTTCCCATTGTTTGTTGTTGCCTATACAATTTATGTGCTCATCTTCAAGCTCACTGATCCTGTCTTTGGCTGTAGTTATTCTACTGCTGAGGGCACCCACTGAGTTTTTAATTTCATCTACCGAATCCTTAATTTGTGACACTTCCTTTTGTAGCTTTTTAATTTCTGCTGTCATTTCTTCCTATATTTTCTCCACTATCCGTTCCACTGTTTCGTTCATTTCTTCCTTTAATTTTTTGAATGTCTGCTTCATTGATTCTTTGAGTAATTCTTTGAACATCCTCAGCATTTCATCTCGGAATTCTTTATCGGAGAGAACATATTTGTGTATAATCCCGGTTGAGGATTCGGGAGTCTTCTTTGTCCTCTCCTCTAAGTGGAGATTTGCGCTGTTTCTTCATGCTGTTGTGGTTGTCCTGAGGTAAAACCTTGGAATTCACTAGCACTGTTCCCTCTTATTGCAGGAAAGGATTCTGAATAAGGTCGGTCGATGGTGTTCACCCTTCTCCCCTTCTAGAATATGTCCTTTCCCTCAGGCATTATTCTGTGGCTTAGGACAGGCATCTGGTGAAGAGTTGTAGGAGGTTCTCTTTTATAATGGCTTTGTACAGCTTCTTGTGTGCTGGTCTTTTGTTGGAATTGGAGTAGGCCAGTGGATTATTGTCATATTATGGTTGAGGCGGCCAGTACTTTTCCCACAGAATTAGGTAATAAAGGCTGGATGTGAGTCGAGAGTGCTGGGAGTGGGAAATATAACTGCGGCAAGGCCACCTGCCACACAAAAGGCCATGCCCACTTTGAAGAGGCCACTCCCTCAGCCAGTCCCAGGGACTCGCAGACCTAGAAACCTGCAGAGGAGGGCAGCGCCATAATGAGGTGGGCTGGCAGTTGGCGGAACTCGGGCAGGTAATCCCCAAATTCTCCTCTGCCTCCCCGGAGGTGGGGGCATGGTGCAGGGAAGGGGACAGGGACACGCTCCCCGGCTCCCGGACGAAGCTGCAGAGGAGGGCGGCGCCGTGACTAAAATAAATTTTTTAAATTTTGTTTTAACCTTTGTGCCAGGTGTAGTTTAATATTTATTAAAATAGCATTTGTTTCTTCTTTCAGTTCTTCTTAACATTTGTTCTCACAGGTGTTATGAGTATATTTTAGGAAATTTATACTTTTTTGTTTGTTTTTAAACTTAGTAACTGTAAAATTAGCAAGTTATCATGATTGGGTCTCAGGCATGCCGTGTTTCAACAGTGACCATTTCAATAGTGTCTGCCTCTCTTCACCAGTGCTCAGGGACTATTCCTGGTTTGGTGCTCATGAGATTCTTCTTTCAGTGGGTGTTTGGGAGACCATCAGGTGCTGGGGATAGAATGCACTCCGCTCCTTTAAGCCATCTCCTTGGCTCAAGCCATTTTTTGGGTGTACAAAGTCCTGCTATTAGATCTTATATTTAAGAAAAACTGAATAAATATTGATTTGAGCATATATTTTAATTTTGTTGTTCTTCGTTAGTTAGATCAAACTCACAATAGGACAAAACATAGTTACGTTACTCTATTTGAAGAATGCATCTCCTTTCTAATTTGCGTTATTCTAGCCTTCTGCCGTTGTTGTTATTCTTTCCATCTCTTTCACCTCTTTATAAGAGCTACTTCTTTTTTTGAATAAATTTTAAGTTTTATTTTCATAAAGTTGTTCACATCAATTGATTACATTCAATATTTCAACACCAATCCCACCACCATTACCCTTCCCACCACCGTTAGTTTGAATTTTCCCACCAGCTTTCAAACTTGCCTGCCAGAGGTAGATGCTAGATCATTTCTTTTCTTTTGCTTTTTATGAATATCATAAGAGGTCGTGTGGCTTTTGCGGCCATGTGCTCCTGGAATTCGAATATTGTAAATGATTGGGGTTTGGAGACATCTATAGGGAGCTAACCCATTTTGAGATTCATTTGTGAGTCTCTGGATCAAGGCCGTTAATGGGCTTAAATGGCACCCAGAGGCAGTTTGTGGGTATGACAGCCAGGACCACTAAGGGACGAGGAGAGGCCGCCATTAGAGCTACTTCTGCATACTGTTAGATTGTTCGTTGGGATCCGATATCTAACCCAACATGCCTAGAATTCTGTTCCTCTCACTATCAGGCTATAAGGCAGAAAAAACAAAAGCCTTGATTCATATTTCGGCATCTTCTGTCTGGATTTATTTTAATATCTTCCAGGTAGAAGTTCCAGCTTCTGACCCTCCCCCTCCCAATCTCATGCAACCCTGTATGGGTTTTTACATGATTATTCTAGACACTAGTCAGATTTCTCTGCATAAAATGGCTTCCAATCTCACTCAAAGTGAAAAAAAAAAAATCCTTAAGTATTGACTCACAAGGCCCTACTTGTTCAGGCCTCTTTTACCTCTCTGACCTTCTTTACCTTTTATTGTTAAAACTACTAAGGCCACACTGGCCTTTGGTTTTCATTTACTTCACCAGTCATGGTTCTGCCTGACAATCTTTGCACTGGCTATCTAGAATATTCTTTCCTGGGTGTCTGTGGGTCTCATTTACTTAAGGATTTTGTTCAGAAACCCTTCTCATTAAGGCCTTCCATGCTAACTGTGTCTTAAGAATTAGCCTCATTCTCAGAAATATTTTTTAAAATTTTCTTACCATTTTAATATAATTTAATCATCATGAGATACAGTTACAGACTTACAAACTCTGGTGCTTACGTTTCAGTCATACAATGATCGAATACCCATCCCTCTACCAGTACCCATTCTCCACCACCAATGTTCCCAGTATCCCTCCCACCTCTCTATCAGGTGGATTCCCTTTTTATTCTCTCTCCTTTAGGGTGTTGTGGTCTGCAATGCAGGTGTTAAGTTCGGTCTATAGTCTACTTTCAGTACACATCTCCCATCCCGAGCGGGTCCTCCAAGCATCCTTTACTTGGTGGCTCCTTCTGTATCTGAACTGCCTTTCCCTTCAGCATGTGAGACTGGCTTCCAAGCCGTGGAGCAACCTCCTGTTCCTTGTCTCTACTATCTTTGTGTGTTAGTTTCCCATTTTGTTACTTTATATTCCACAAATGAGTGCAATCTTCCTGTGTATGTCTCTCTGTTTCTGAATCATTTCACTTAGCATGATACTCTCCATGTTAATCCACTTATATACAAATTTTATGACTTCATCTTTTCTAACAGCTGCATAGTATTCCATTGTGTAGATTTACCAAAATTTCTTTAGCTAGTCATCTGTTCTTGGGCATTCAGTTTTTTTCCCAGATTCTTGCTGTTGTAAACAGTACTGCAATGAACATATGAGTGCAGGTGTCACTCTCCTTTTTTTTTTTTTGCATCTCCTGGGTATATTCCCAGAAGTGGTATTGCTGGGTCAGATGGGAGCTCAATTTCTAATTTTTTGAGAAACGTCTATACTGTTTTCCAAAAGGGCTGAACCAGTCGGCATTCCCACCAGCAGTGAAGGAGAGTTCCTTTCTCCCCACATCCACGCCAGCACCAGTTGCTTTTATTCTTTTGGATGTGAGCCAGTCTCTGTGGTGTGAGATGATGCCTCATTGTTGTTTTGATCTGCATCTCCCTGATGATTAGTGATGTAGAGCATTTTCTCATGTGTCTTTTAACCATTCAGATTTCTTCTTTGAGAAAGTTTCTGTTCATTTCAATGTCCCACTTTCTTATGGATATTTTTTTCTTGTGGAGTTCAACCAGTGCCTTGTATACCCATGATATCAACCCTTTATCAGATGGATATTGCATGAATATCCTTTCCCATTCTGTAGATTGTCTTTGTATTCTGGTCACTGTTTCTTTTTGAGGTACAGAAGCTTCAGAAACATTTTATATTACTTTTTTTGCTCTTAGCATTTATCTTCTAACAGAATATATATTTACTTTTTATTTCTCTCACTGTCAGTCTTACTCTAATACTAATCTCCAGAAAGAGCTTTGTTCATTACTGCACCATCAGTATCTAGATCATTGCTGGCTGTATAAGACTCTTAATATATCTTTGTGAAATAAATATTTGTGTTAGTTGCTTAAAATACAGTACATGGATACTTTCTACTGTTGTGAAAAATTATTGATAGCTGATATTGGAGAATTATTCGAATGAAGTAAAATGATTTTACTTCTGACAGGACTATCAAGGAGCTGCAAGGCCAGCTAGAGTATGAAAGACTACGGAGAGAAAAATTAGAATGTCAGCTGGATGAGTGCCGAGCAGAAATGGATCAACTCAGGACAACACTGGAAAAACCTCAGGTCTCTTAACTTTGTGTTGATGTCCTTTGTAACACCTTTATCTTTCTCAAGAGTCCTTTGTAACACCTTTATCTTTCTCAAGAGTAGTAAAAATGCACAAGTTTTGGACTGGTCCTATTTGGATTTGAATTCTGGCTACAGACACCTTGGTTTGGATAAATGATACCTCTGTTATACCTTTCAGTACCTTTCGATACATTATATATAAAAGGGGCCACTTTATGCTTTCTAGAGTGTTAGAAGGATTATAGGAATATTTGAGTTATATAGATTCAATATATTTATATTACTGAACGAACAGATACCATTGGGCTACGCTAGCACGCAACCGGGATGAATGGAGACGTTACTGGCACCCGCTCGAATAAATCGATGAATAATGGGGATTAAGTGATTAAGTGATAAGTGATATTTATATTATACACACATGCATACATAGCAATATAACTATAGATGCAATATCACTATAGAGATGTATATAGATGCAAACTATATACATAATATTATATATAAAACCTTGTTATATATGCATACTTATATATTCATATATTAGGACAGTGGCTTGGTTTATAATTGTGCAGTATTATTGTTAAGGAGAAAAAAACATTATAAGCAGAGTAATCAGTGTTCTAAATAGCCAAAATAAAATTCTTTGAATTAGATTCATTTTAGAAGGCACTGGTTTCTCAAAAGAGAGGTTTAAGAGTAGAGTAGGCCAGCATGGAAAATTGTCATATCACCTTTTGTCACAGAAATTACAGAGCAGTAAAATAAAAACTAACATTTATGTGATACTTTATAAAGTTCTTCTACATTTATTTCATGTTATTTGATCTGCCCTCATTTAACATGTGAGAAAACAGAGACTCAAAGAGGTTAAGAGATTTGTCTAAATTCACACAGCTAGTGATGGTGGGATCAGTAGTCAATTTCTACATTTGACTCCATAATCTTGGATTTTTTCATAACTACCAGTTGTAATTATGAAATTGGAATTAAGAATGTAGCTCTAAGGTTCATTGATGTCCTTATAAAATACCCATGACATTCTTACAGACATAGGTCAAAAACTACTGAAATTTATATGGAAAATAAACCCCACCAAATAGCAAATAGAGTCCTAGGAAAAAAGAACATGGGAAGCCTCTCTCTCCCCCATTAAAACGATATTAAATTTATCATAACTAAAACAGTGTGGTATATGGATAAGTATAGACTCTCAGACCAGTAGAATAAAGTCTGGAGATAGATCCTCAGGTATATGAACAGTTAATCTTTGACAAAAAAATATGAAGGGAGCAAAGAATGCCTCTTCAACAAATGGTGCTTGGAAAAATGGTTGGTCACATGCAAAAATATGAACTCAGACCCTTTTCTAATGCCATGCAGAAAAGTCAAGTAAAAAATGGATTAAAGACCGTTAATTATCAGACCTGAGTTGATAAATTCTATTTAGGAAGACATAGGTAGAACACTTCACCACATTGAATTTAGAGATATCTTTATTAATTCAGTGCCATTGGCCAAGTAAATGAAATGAAAAATAAACAAATGGGACTACAAACTAAGAAGCTTCTGCAATGCAAAACAAAACAAAACAAAAACAATGATGCAAATAAAAAGATAGTCTACAGACGGGGAGAGAATATTTGCCCACCACTCATCTAATAAAGGATTAATATCCAAGATAAATTTTTGATAGAACTTCGCAAGAAAAAATTAAGTAACCCCATTAAAAAAGTGGGGGAAGAGATGAACAGAAGCTTCCTCCAAGATGTACAGATGGCCAGAGGCATATGAACATATGCTCAGCATCACTTAACATCAGAGAAATGCAAATCAGAACATCACCACACATTATAAACAACAAAAACAATTAGTGTTGGTGTGGATGTGGGAGGAAGAGGACCTTCATTTACTGCTGTGGGAATATCAACGGGTCCAGTCTTTTTTTGAGGGTTCAGCTGGTGTTGCTCAGGGTTTATTTCTGGCTCTACTCTCAGGGATCATTCCTGGCAGGCTCAGGAGACCTTATGGGGTGCTGGAAATTGAACCCTGGTCAGCTGCATGCAAGACAAGTGCCTTACCTGCTGTACTATTTCTGGCCCTGAACCAGCCATTTTTTGAAAACAATATGGGCACTTCATAAACTAGCAATTGAGCTTCCATATGACCCTGTGACCACTTTGGTCCCTTGGGGTAAATAAACTGTTATTTACCCCAAGGGACCAAAAACTCTTTCAGAAGACACCTGAACTCCTATATTAATTACAGCACTATTTAGAATAGCCCAAATCTAGAAATTACCAATGTCTAAGAACAGATGACTAGGTAAACTATGATATATATATAAATATATATATATATATATATCCAATAGAATCTTATTCAGCTTTTTAAAAATAGTGAAATCATGTCATTTGCTGCTGTATGGATGGATCTGGGGAGTATCATGCTGAGTGAAATCAGTCAGAAGGAGAGGGATACACAGAATGGTTTCTCTGAAAAGCGAGATATAAAGAAATGTAGTGGGGGGGGGGTGGAGATAAGACATGCCCCAAGGCAACGGAAATGGGAAATGGAGGATGGTTTCAGTAGGAACTTGCCATTAAGGTGTAGGGGAAGGAAGCAGGGAGTGCTGGGACAATGGTGGGGGGAAGCAGACCCTTTGGTAGAGGATATGGTGCTGGAAGTTTTTCTGTATGAAATGATATGAATGACAGCCTTCACAGTGCTTAAAATTAAGGAAAGAAAGGAAGATATATAGGTCTAGAAACAAGAAAAATACTTAGAGTGACAAATGGAGTAATATGAAGGAAGAATCGAAAAAGAAACTGAAAACAAGTACTGAAATGCAGATGGAGCATGTAAGAGAAATCCCTAGTGGCACCTGTGTATCAGCAGGCCAAAAGTTCACAGCAGGAACTTTGACTTTCTCTGAGTAAAGACAGATAACATGATCCTTGTGGACAGCTTATGTGACACAGTGTAGGGGTTCAAGTACGCTTGATATTTTCCTTCCTTTAGGAAATGTTTTCTTTAACCTCACTGGAGGAATTTATTGTTTCAGACCAATATTATTTCAGATGCAATATATATAAAGACTTCCTACACCTTATTTTTCACAAATTATTAGTCTTAACCATTTTAAAATATTAACATTACTTATTAACATTAATAAAATAAATATTAGCAAGTAAAAACAATTCACATTACTTGTTAAATTATTTATTATTATTTATTACTAATATTTATTAAACTTGTTAATATTATTTATTGTTTATTATTATCAATGTTGGCTGCGTGCAAGGCAGACGCCCTACCCGCTGTGCTGGAGCGGGTAGGGCGTTTGCCTTGCATGCAGCCAACATGGCTGACCCGAGTTCGATTCCTCCGCCTCTCTCGGAGAGCCCGGCAATCTACCGAGAGTATCTCGCCCCATGGCAGAGCCTTGCAAGCTCCCCGTGACGTATTGGATATGCCAGACACAGTAACAACAAAGTCTCCAATGGAGACGTTACTGGGCCCGCTCGAGCAAATCGATGATCAACGGGAGGGCCTTTACCTTTTATATTATTATCAATATTATTTATTAATATTATTATAAATTAAAAGAACATTTCATGTAATTTTATATTTTAAATATATTTTTGTTTTTATATTTATATATTTTAAATATAAATAATTTTAAATATTTTAAGTATTAATAATATAATTTATTTAAATATAAATATTAAATATTAAATATAAATAATATAAAATTAATATTAACAAGTAATGTTAATATGTAAACTATTAAAAGCACCAATTTTCTCCTTAAACTACATTCTGCTCCGTGGAGAAATGTTTGGCATGCCTTCTCCTCCACAGATTTCTACTCACGTACAAAAACATGGGTTTGTTTTTATGCATATACAATTTCAACATTCTCTAGGTTTTGGTATCTCAAAAGCACTTAGTTTATCAAGGGATATAATTAGAACAATCTGTTCTTACCCTGTTTCAGTTCTCTTCGGATACCACCTTTAATCCCTGGAGACACTCTAGTACAGAGATGCTAGCCATGCGATTACATGGTGTTGGATAGAGGACATTTTATAAGCCATCATATACCAAATCCCTTACTTCTCCACCTTCTGGCAGAAAGTTTTCTGATTTCTCACCCCAAGTCCAGGCAGAAGTGATACCCTAGCACAGAGGCCGGAGTAGTCCCATTTTCCTCTGTTACAGGAGAAAGCAAGCCTTTCCCCTTATAACAAAGAATCTGTAGGGGCCTGGGACATAGCTCAAGTGACTGAGCTCGTGCCTAGCGTGTGTAAACTCCTTTTGCTGGAGTAGCGCTCTGAGTGATCACACCTTAACAGATGTTCGTGGGCTCTCTGGGTAGCTTCTTCTCTGCCCGGGTTCAGTGCTCTCAGACTGCTTCCGCACCCAGAATGGCCATTGCGATGGGCGGACAAAGGAGCACAAAAGGGCCAACTTGATTGGTGATCAGTTACCGTTTATTCCATCTCTTGTCTCTCCCAAATCTCTCCACAACTCTCTCAACTCTCTTCCCCAACTGGCTCCACAGCGCTCTCCACCTCTGGCCACAGTTCTCTCTCCTACTCTCCGCAGCAACTCTGTCCCTAACTCGCTCCACCAAGCTCTCGAACTTTCTTCCCCCAGCTCTCTCTCTCTCCACAGCTCTCTCCACCTCTCGCTCTGCCTGCCTCTCCCTAACTCGCTGCAGCCACCACCTTAACTACCTCTTTTCTAACCATGCCTCCCCCCCTCCCCAGGAAGCAAATCAACACGTTTTTCAAGCCTTCCTGACCACCTGCAGCCCACAAGGGCAAAACAGCATTTAAGGTGTGTTTCTCCTTTCCTTAGACCAGTAACTTAATTAACATTTAAATTCTACTTCCTAATATTTGCCATTCTGTATGGACACCGTAATAGACACATTTAGGTCTGTGGGTGCCTCTACTGGAGACATCTCGCCATAGACTCAGACTATGGTGCTCAGGCAGGATCAGTCATTCCTAACCTCAGCAGGGTACATATCTAGTTATCACTCTTTGGATCATGTCAGAATTTGTCCATGACCAAGCTCTTATAGTTAAGCATTAGGGCACTTTGCTCAGGCCCATTTCGATGCCAGGGTAGCTCATAGCGCACCACTTTCCCTGGATCCATCCTGTCCCTCTTTGGGACCCTGTTTTTTAGGATCTAGGAAGTAAGGTCAAATGAGGTTTTAGTCAAGAGTGCAGATTTCTAGGAGGTGAAATTATCTGGAGTCAATTAACTCTCAAGTTACAAAAACATGTCTTTTTAACTCTCTTCCTGTATCCATACAAAAAGTACTTGCTCTGAAGTAACTAACCATGCAAAGGACTTAAAAGGAGAAGAGAAAGACAATATTTATAAGTCATCAGAGCCTGATCAGGAGACAAAGGTAATTGACAGGTTGGGGGAGCAATCAACAAACCCACCCTTCCTGAGGACAGGGGGAAAGGGCAAACCAATGTTATTCTACAGAAATTTCCTACCTAAATTTGATCACATGCATTGTATGCATCCCTCCATACCTGCCCCCTGCTTACGCCCCTGAATACTTAACTGTGAGGCCTATGCCTCTGGAATCACTGGGAGTTGACCCTATTTAAAAAAAAAATCAGAAGAAGTGTAATTTTTATTTAGAAAAAGGAATTCTCAGAATAGTTTGACATATATTGCTCTTAAAGTTTTTTGACAACTGTTTAATCATACTTTTTTACATAGTCTCATCTTAGATTGCATTAACGTATCACACAGCGTTTTTCCCTGTTCTCTGATGTGTAGTATATTTCTAATTTATCCCACCTTTTCCCGCGAAGCCTTTATTCATATTGTCCCTACATTTTGGGGGGTGGGGTACCACACCCAGTGGTGCTCAGGGCTTCTTCCTGGCTCTGCACTCAGGGATCACTCCTGGAGGCCTTGGGGACTGTATCGGGTATCAGGGAGCAAACCTGGATCAGCCACTACAAGGCAAATGCCCTACCCGCTGTACTATCACTCCAGGCCCCCCCCTTTTTTTTAAGGTTCTAACCCAGTGGTGTGTGGGCGTGACTTCTGGCTCTGTGCTTAGAGGTTGCTCCTGGCAGTGTTTGAAGGACCCCATAATGCTAGGGATTAAGCCTTTGATCCCTGGAATCTGGGCCTTCCATGTACAAATATGTGCTCTGTCCATTAAGCTATTTTTCTGGGCTCCGTCCCTATACTTTAAAGGCTATTAACTCTTTATTAAATCCTTTGGGAACTGTCTTTTTTTCCTACCTTTTGATAAGGTTCAATAATTAATTCTTTGGCCACTTGGGCTCTTCTTTCACCATGTCATTTGTCCTGTTCTGAGAGTACTTCATATTTTCAAATTATTGCTTAATTGGACAGCTGCTTTCCTCACAGTTTCAACAATTTAAATCCTGTGTGATCATTTTATGTATCTTAATAAGATCTTCTTTGTCGTCCTTAACATCTTCTTCCTATTTTCTATTCTTCCTATTTTTCATACCTTCGCTCCTACCCTTTCCCTTTCTTCCTCTCTTCCTCCTTCCCTTTTGTCTTTCTGTCTTTGTATCCAAAATGTAAAAAGAACTTAAATCAATTAAAAAAAAGACAATTCAGTAATAAATCAGGCACGCCAGTAGATACCTAAGTGACCAGTTAACATATGAACAAGTACTCAGTATTATTTTGATCAGATTATAAATCCAAACCCTGGAAGATGCTAGTAAAGTCTGCCAGATTGGTTAAAAGTAAAAGAACACAAATATTACCAAGTATCTGCGGTATGTGAGGTCTTGGAACTCTTATATGCTACTGATCGGAGTGTAAGTTAATAACGTTGGAAATTGTTTGACATCACCTGTCCAAAATGACCATAGACATATTTATTTATTTATTTATTTATTTATTTATTTTTTCTTTTTTTGGGTCACACCCAGCGATGCTCAGGAGTTATCCCTGGCTCTGCACTCAGGAATTACTCCTGGCGGTGCTTGAGGGACCATATGGGATGCCGGGCATCGAACCCAGGTTGGCTGCATGCAAGGCAAACACCCTATCCGCTGTGCTGTCGCTCCGGCCCACCATAGACATATTTAAAACTTATGTTCCTCTTGTTACTGTAAGCACACTCCAAACTAGAAATCAATCGTATTTCATTAGCAATAAATTTTGGTGTTTGAATTGCTGCTCTATGCATGATGGATTACTAGCCTACATATTACTGCCAGTTAAACATAATTATAAATGATAGAAAAAATCCAATAGTGCTATATCATTTTAATAAAGTCCAAAATATACATTGGTTGAGAGAACATTGGAGCAGGCAAATGCAGGCTTATGAAATGCAAGTTATGTTCAGTTTCTTGAACTTAGTTATAATCATACTCTGTAAGTTTAACTCATACATATTCTCAAACTATATATTTTTCCTTTGTCCTTGTTCGTGTGTGTAATATACTTTAGTGTTTACTTAAATAACTTAAACAAGGTGAGAACTATAATAGCTGTGACAGAGATATCTGCCACAGATTTGTGTAACAACTGAACTCATCATAGCTTACATATCCCAAACAAATACTATTCAGGAAATTATTGGTCAAAGACTTGGGGCATACTTGCTAATCAAGGTAGTAATATTTGTCCATCACTTTGAGAGTACTCGAAATCATTGTAGTGTAAGGAGTTAGGATATATGACTGACAGGTAGAGGAAAATAAATGTATTACTGTTTCTAGTGGTCATACTATTGAATACTGGAAAATCAGTTGCTTCTGACTAGTAGCTACTCTGAAGAGTTAAAATCTTGCTTGACCTCAGTGTTTTTCTTTCATGGACTTCTTTAATGTCAGTTTACCTGAAATTTGGGTGAATTGGACACTTTCTCTTATATCTCCACTACAGAGTTGAGGGGAAATCAGGTCTTATTCTCTTTATATGTATAGTATATATCATACATAGTACAGATTTAGGAGCTGAATGATTGAGCATACATGTTAAAATCAGAAGACAGGATTGAAACATGGTTGTGGGAACATGAACATTGGCATCAGGCAAAATCTAGGGTTGAATCTTGCCATTCGACTAGTTTTATGCACTTCAACCTTTACCTACAGAATGTCTATTATATTACCTATTCCTCCTTATTTCAAAAGTTTGAAGTACAGTTGACTGTAGATGTTAAGTCCCAAAGAAAGATTTATTAGTCTGAGCACTATTAGGTAAGATTTTCAGGGGTTGAAACCATTTCCCTTACCCTGTGCCCACCAGGGTCATAGATGGAGGGCTTGAAGTTTCTCGATTCCTTTCTCAAGACTGCAGCCAAGAGGCCAGGAGGGAACAGGGTATGGCTCTGTATTTGTAGGTGGTGGGATAAAGAACGTGCAGTTAAAGGTGTGCACGGGTCTACTTTGGACAATACCAGCTCCAGCCATGGACCCACTCATTGAAATATGGCTTGTGTCCTTGGAGCCCCTGTCCTGCCTTACTGGGTGCAGAGCATTTGTTACTAGAATCCTGTGTCCTCCCGTTGTTCATCGATTTGCTCGAGTGGGCCCAGTAACGTCTCCATTGGAGACTTTGTTGTTACTGTGTTTGGCATATCGAATACGCCACGGGGAGCTTGCCAGGCTCTGCCATGCGGGCGAGATACTCTCGGTAGCTTGCCAGACTCTCTGAGAGGGTTGGAGGAATCGAACTCGGGTCGGCCATGTTGGCTGCGTGCAAGGCAGACGCCCTACCGCTGTGCTATCGCTCCAGCCCTATTTGAAAATGATTAACATCCGGTAACATCCACTGTATTTCTAAAACTTCTCTTGCTTTCCCCATAACATTTGTTATTAGGTGAAACTTCTGTACTAGGGTCCTGAAATTACTGGGTCAAGTAGAAATATTAGGAAACTGGGTCACAGTGCAAAATGGAAAGAAAATGAGACAAGAGCAGTAGAGGGATGTTGAATGAAAACAGAGAAGGGAATATCTAAGTCAGGATCTAGGGGTCTAGCACTCCTGGCCTAGCAAAAGTCATATATTAATGCTTTGTATTTCAGTTAGCAGTATGCTATAAAGTGCTAGCTATCTTCAACTAGAAGCATAAAAAAAAACATGATTTCTCATTGGGGTCATAAATTAGATAAGAGAAAGGCCTCAACGATTTCTCAAAGTTTTCCGGGTTTATGACTCAGCACAGTATGATATGAGAATTTATTTGTACAGAATCCTCAAAGAAGTTTAATCCAGAGCCCAAAATACTGGCATCACTAATTATTTTCTTTTGGAACATATAATGAAAGATGAAATCAGCATAGAAATCTTATTGGGCTCTCTTTTCCTTGGTTTTAGGAAGATGACTACTCTTATAAGTCAAGCAAAGATAAGAGGCGAGTGAAGAAAAAAGTGTCTGCTGGGGAAATTTTGGGGAAGAGGCACTAGCCAGTGTAATAACTTTAAATAAATGTGCTTGCTTTTTATGTTTTATTTGAAAAATTGATGTAAATGTAAATCTATAGCAACTCTCCTCAGACTTACTGATATTATACTAATTCTGAAGACAGAAAGAAATGTTGTATGAAAAAAAGGAACTGTTAAATTTACATGGAGTCAATTGTAACAACCCTCCCTAGTATAGTTTTTATATATTTATGTAGCCTATGAGTCTGTTTGTCAAAAGAAATCTACTTGTTTTATATAATTTTTATATAACACATAATATAATTTTAATATGTTATATTTTTCAGTAATAGTATTAACAGTTATAAATATTTAAATGCATTAAACATTCTTTTATAGCTACATTAGATAGTTTTTTTACTTTCTAGAGAATATCATTTACTACTTTTAAATATGACTTAATTTTTTTTAACTTTTCAAATGGCTTGAGTTTTTAAAGTATGTGAACTTAGGTAAAAATGCAATACAAAATCAGTGAAATTTTATATATTTTTATCGAATCATTGTGAAATACAGTTACAAAGCTTTCACGATTGAGTTTCAGTCATTTAATGATCAAACACCCATCTTTCCACCAGTGTGTATTTTCCACCACCAATGTTCCCAGCATCCCTCCTGACACCCTCTCACCCCAACCCATTCCCTGCCTCTGTGGGAATTCTACCTACCTTCTTACTCTCTCTACTTTTGGGCTTTATGGTTTGCAGTACGGATACTGAAAGGTCATCAGGTTTTGTCCTTTGTCTACTTTCAGCACACGTCTCCCATCCTGAGCAGTCCCTCCAACCGTCATTGGCTTACTGGTCCCTTCTCCATCCCAACTGCCTCTCCCCCAGCACATGAGGCAGGCTTCCACACCATGGAGCGATCCTTCTTACCCCTGTCTCTACTCTCCCTGGGTGTTAGGCTCATATTATGTAATTTTATATTCCTCAAATTAGTGCAGTCATTCTATCTGTATCTTTCCCTTTCTTTCTGACTAGTTTCACTTGGCTTGATACTCTATGTCCATCCACTTTTAAGAAAATTTCATGACTTCATCTTTTTTTTCCCACTTGCTTGGTCAGTGGTGTTTCATCCTTAAAGATGCCTTTAGCTTCAATATCATGGAGGGTTCTGCTTACATTTTCCTCCATGTGCCTTATGGATTTGGGTCTGATATTGATATTAATATCCATTATGTTAATGGATATTAATCCATTTTGATCTGCACAAAAGAACTTTTGTACTTGGTGTTAGACACAGGTCTGAATCCATTTGTTTTGCATGTAGCTGTCCAGTTACCCAGCACCACTTGTTGAAGAGGCTTTCCTTGCTCCATTTCACATTTCTTGCTCCTTTATCAAAGATTAGGTGATCACATACTTGAGAGTCTGTGTCAGAATATTCAGCTCTATTCCATTGGTCTGTGGGTCTTTGTCTCTTTCAATACCATGCTGTTTTAATTACTACTGCTTTCTAGTACAGTTTGAAATTGGGAAAAGTATTGCCACCTGTAGGATAACACTGTTTTGTCCTTCCTCAGGTAGCTTAGGTTTATCGGGTCACACCCATCTAGGGACACTGAACTTGTATTGTAAGCAATGTCCTTTCTGTGTGGACACAGGAAGATAGTTAATATTACGCTTTGTAAGTTGGGAGTTGATTGACTCCGAATAATATTTACTCCTGGGCATCTGATTTCTTGACTCAGTTGCCCTTAGTTCCTAGCACCCCAAAAGCAGGGTCCCGACGAGGGACTGAATGGACCCAGGGCAAGCAGTGAGCTACCCTGGCATCAAAATGGGCCAGGCCAAAGCGCCACGATACTCAACTATAAGTTGAGGGCATGATCATGGACAAATGCTGTCATGATCCAAAGTAACGACGAGACTAGGACCCTGCTGGGGCTAGGAAGACTAACCTGGCCTGAGGACTGCGGAATGTATAATGAGATGTTTATGTCTCTTACTGTGCTCACACAGAATGACATTGCTAGAAATATTAGAAGTAGATTTACTACGACTATTTAAGTAGATTACTAGCTGAGGAAAGAACACACCCTTGAGCAGATCTCTTAGTAATCTGGAGTAATCTCTTTAGATGAGATTTTATCCTTGAGTTAATCTCCTGGAGGAGTGGTCTTACCTCTCATTGTTGGTTTGTCAATATTCAACCCACCTTTGTGTCACCGCCCTACATGATTGCTATATAAACTAAGATTGTAAGTTCGGAGAGTGGAGTCAGAAGTGAGAGGGCTCGGGCTCCAGAGATCCAGAGTCAGAACCAGAAGGAAAACTGTTCCAGATTGGGGCCCAGGAGAGAAGGAGGCAGAGGAGAGACAGAAGCGAAGAGGATTGGAAAAAATTACTATTGATATCAACCAGCCGACCAGCCTGGCCCTCGTTTCTTCTTCCATCTGCCCTTGGCCAACAGTCGTCCTGATCCAGGCCACACACAGCGGCTCAAGAGCACCAAACATGGCGGTGAGACAGTGCCATCCAGTGAGCCTGTGAATACACAACCTTCGGCGTGCTGAGAATTTACAGCCACCCATCTTCTTTTTACCTAGGATTGCTTTAGCTATTTGTGGGGTTTATTGTTCCATATGAATTTCAAGAATGTTTTGTCTATTTCTTTGGAAAATGTCATTGGGTATCCTTATAGGGGCTGCATTGAATTCTGTATGCTTTGGGGTGTATTGCCATTTTGACAATGTTAAAATCAATTAAGTTTTAGAAAAGGACAATTTTACAATAATAAATAGATATATCATGCAGATATGTAGTAATAGTTAATAAACTTATTTAAAATGAGATTAACTGTGAAAGAAAAATAAAAACAGAATGTGTGCTTATTGAGATTACCCATTTAAAAGAATCAGTTTTCAGATTCACTCACTGTTCTGTTTTGCAAAGTTTTGTAAGGTAGAGAGATGCTACAGAATAAAAAAAGAAAATGACTTTATTTTTATTCCTTCCCTTTAGCCCCTTGACTTTGCTGATGAGTAAATAACCATGACATTTTAATTCATTTATGACTTCAATTTCTTCACTTTGCCTTGTGGCTTTTACCCACATCCCTTGAACTAACAAAGATTTGAGACTCTCTTGACTTATTGTCTAGCCCAGTTATTTTCCACTGCTTTTCTGGTACCAGTTGCTGGTTCACAGTGTATAAAAAGGTTGAACCACTGGTCTAGATTTAAAACTGGTTTCCTCTGAAGATCTGAGTGCTTGTTTGGATTTCACTTGTGGCAGCCTTCTCACCATATCAGACTTCCCACCCTCTGAGCCTTTGTGTATTCCTCGTATGGGTGGTGAACATCATTTGACCTAGTATCATAAGGGTAGCCCTGATATAAGTGGATTTAACTGACTTGGTAAGACAAGTCAGAGTAGGTAAGTATGTCCCCCAAAAATGGCTTACCTAACATTTAAATATCATTTGTGTTCATTATTATTAATCTGTAGTTTCCAATAGGTGTTCACTGTGTGAATGTAAAAATAGTTGTCGACATTTTGGGGCAATTCATTATGAAATCTTTGCTGGGTCTTTTACACATACTATCTCAGTTTTCTGAACAACTGTATGGGGTAAGATATATTTTGTAAATGAAGATGAAATTATTTTTTGCCCAGGATAACAGAAAAAGGAGCCAGGAATCAAACCTTATTTTGAGAAGTTCAGGATTCTTAACCACCATGGAATTTCCAAAGTCCTCATTTTCCCCATTTTCTCAGACAATACACTGCTTCTTTTCCTTTTTTTGCCTAGTCACCCTAAATTTAATCTCACCCTGGATATTCTCAAGGCTATGTCACCCCTCCATCCCCCCCCCCCAACACAGACAGTGGCACAAAACAAGGTCATCATTCCTCTTGGAGGCCTCTTACTACTTGCAGGAAATGTCGCTAACATTTAGTGGTCTCAGAAACTCAGTATAAATGAAATGTGAAAAAAAAATGAAATGTGAACAACATACTCATATTTAAAAATTTGGGTTAAAGTCAGTTGAGAGCTGTTCATATCATTTTCCACACACTTTTAAGAGCTTTCTGGGAACTACTAGTTTAGTATGTGAAACACATAAAACTAGATGTTTTATAGTGGGTGTTTAAATGCTATTCATAGAGGCAGTTTTGAAACATGCCAAACACCATCTTCTCTTTCTTCATTCTCACATATTTTTCCTAAACAAACCAAAACAAACTACTAAAATAAAATCTCCATGGAAAAGGCATAGGATCCAGAAGTAATGTTAGAATAGGGTATGATGCATATATTTCTTTATTAAAATACTTCATTTGCTAAGTCCCTAAAGGTTGGAAAACTCTTATCTTTAATGGTTGTCAACGGGGAATATGCTTATTTGTTGAGATTTGAGGAAATCAATAAATAGAACCCCTCTCTTTAAGCCTACTGATCAACGGACTTAGAGGCTTTTATTTACTGATATAAATGACATTGGAGAATATGGTTCCAACAGATTTCTCACTGAATCCAGAATTCATCGATTCGTCGATTGCCTCGAGCAGACCCCAGTAACGTCTCTTTCATCCTAGCCCTGGGATTATATTCAAGGCTCTTTAGGAGAATGAGACCCATCATTGTTACTGGTATTTGGCATATTTGGTACGCCACGGGGAGTTTGCCAGACTCTGCCCTGTGGGCAGGCTACATTCGATAGCCTGTGTTGAATCCAGAATGGGACCAATTAATCCTGCCCCCAAGAATCCCTGAACTTTGGCAGTCAACTCTGCACAGGCTGAACCTGGTCACAGAGAACTGAATGAATGCTCTGTATAGCTATGCTGGCCTTAAACAGGCGCAGGGAATAAGTTGCTGTCCAATCGAAACCCTGTTACTTCTTTCACTTTACTTATAAGGGATGAAGAGTGATGAGACTAAGAATATGCCACTGGAGCTTCCTTTACAAGGAGGGAAAGCATTTCCCCCTCAACACTCACATATTATAATTTGTAACAAATCTTCTCTCCTAGGATCATCAATTCCAAGAGAATGAAATCATGCTTACCTCTGAACATATGGAGATCAGGCTGCTCTTTGGCATAGAATGGGCATTCTTTTTGTTTGTTTTGGGGGCACATTCAGCTTTCTGCTCAGGGAATCACTCCCAGTGGTGTGAAGTTGGCTGCATTCAATGCAAGTGCCTTAACCCCTATACTATCCCTCAGGTCCCCAAATGCATTTTTTTCTTATTTCTCGAGCAAAGAAATGCATTAGTTTATTATAACCGAATTTATACAGTACTCATTGACTCAATAAAAATTCATGCCAAGAATTTTTATAAAATGTAAGAAATGGAAAGAGAAACCTCTGAGCACTCAAACCTGCCCCACCCTCAAAAAAGGGTAAAAATGAATCAATCTTACAGATAAAGTTAAAATACAGAGGTTTTGTTTTGAAAACAACAATACAGATCTTAGAAGAAAATACAGATCTTAGTTGGAAAGCCTTGAGTCTCACAGGACCTTACGGAATATTCTTGATTGCCAACTAAACAATAGCAGTTATCTGTAACAAAATAAAAGTAGTATTTGTAATAAGTGTTATTTTCAATATGATTATGAAACTTTAAAAGCTTTTGCTAAGGCAGTGTAAAATCTTTGGAAATTCTTCCTGCAGGGCTCAGGGCTTACCCCTGGCTCTGCATTCAAGGATGACTTCTGGTGAGGATTGGGGACCATAGGCAGCAAGTATAGAACCTGAGTAGGCCTCAAGCAATGCAAATTATCTGCTGTACTCTCTCTCCAGGTCCTGGCCCTGGCTTTTTTTCACTGGATAAAACTGAAGGTCTTAGATAAAAATGGCATTATCCACTATCCTTGAAACTATACATATCCTTTTACTGGACACAGTAGAGTTTCTCAATATACTTTTTTTATGAGAAAAAAACCCATAGGGTACCCAATAAAATCCTCCCCTATATGAGCACGTGGGGATGAAACTTCATATTTATTTTTTTAGTGTAGGGATTATACACTAATAGTTTTCAGAACCCATAATAAGTGCCATCTACTTGCTTGAGGGCACAAGTCATTAAAACTTTTATTAGGGGCTGGAGTGATAGTACAGTGAATAGGGCGTTTGTCTTGTATGAGGCCAACCCGGGTGCAATCCTCAGCATCCTGTATGGTTCCCTGAACACTGCCAGGAGTAATTCCTTAGTGCAAAGCCAGAAGTAACCCCTGTATATCGCCAGGTGTGACCCAAAAAGCCTAAAAAAATATTTCATTAAAACGTTCAATTTCATGAGATGTCATTTAAAAAAAATTAACAGCTTTTTTAAAAATGTTATTTTATTTTATATGAAAAGTGTATTGGTCAGCAGCTATCAGGGAAGTTGAATACAATAACAAGTAGATTTGGGAACAGTTTTCAAATTTGCAGCAGGTATAAAACAATTCTGTACCATTTCTATTTCTGATTGTTTACAAGCACTATCAAAAGGTTAAAAACAAAAGTCCTATTGCATGTTAATCAGGTTTGGAATGTCAACTTTTCAATATAATAAAATAGATACATACAAAATAAGATAAAGTAATTCATCCAGTATGAAACACTTCTTTTCTAGTCCACGTGTACTCTGTATAAACGTGTATTAAATCTGTTGCAACTTTCTATATTCAAGAAAAAAATCTTTCCAGGAAAAGTCTTCTGGTAAACAGTAGCACAAAGGAGTACAATGCCGTGACTCTCTGTTATTTCCAGATTCTATAAAATCCCAATGCTATTGCCAGGCAAGTAAACACCGAGGCTGAGAAAAGAAAAAAAACATTTTACAGGTCATGCATCATTATTTTGAAGAGACAAAGTAAGGAGCCACAGGAGAGAAACAATATTAGAGACTAATGAAAAACAAACTCTGGAGGGGTTCAAGGACCATATGAACGGTGGGAGATCAAACCTGGGTTGCCTGCCTGCAAGTCAGATGCAGATATACCCACTGTATATCTATCAAAATCTATAGGACATATCAAACGCAGCAAAAGCTATAGTAATGCACTAATCTATAGAACAGAGAAAAATTTAAAAGCAATTCAACCTTATATTAAAAGGAACTAGAAGTCAAACCAAAAGAAGCAAAGAAGATCAAATTCAGCAGAATTAAAATATAACTAGTGTTGAAATAAATGAAATAGAAAATATAAAAGGTCAAACTATAAACTGGGTCTTTGGAAAGTTAAATTTGTATCACTGAAAACAAAATTAGTAAAAACAAAATGAAAGCAAATTTGTAACAGATGTTGCAAAAATAGAGAATCATTAAGGTGTTAATTACTATAATAAGTGGAACACCATTCACCACTATGGGTAATTTTATTTATTTATTCATTTTGGGTTTTTTGGCCATGCCTGGCAGTACTCAGGGCTTCCTCCTGTCTTTGTGCTTAGGGATCCATTCTGGCGGAATTCAAGGACCCTATGAAGTGTGGGAGATCAAACCGGGGTTGCCTACATGCAAGGCAGGTGCCCTAGCCACTACGTATCACTCCAGCCCCACATTAGGGGTAAAATCTGCGGTGGTTATGTTAAGTGAAATAAAATTTGGGTAATTTTACTCATAAGGGGCACATATAAAACAAAGCAAATGAACAGTTTCAACTCTCAGACTCTTAACAAATCCTAGTTATGAGAGGAAAGGGAGGCGGACGCCAAGAGCAGGCGGGCGAAGCTCACCTGGCAGTTCTCGGGAGCTCTTGCCATCCTGGTGTTCGCGCCTACTGGTGCTAGGGACCAAACCCAGGGCTCCTGCGTATACGGCAGGTGCTCCAGCCCACTGAGCTATCTCTCTGGTCCCTTGAAAAGAGTTTTTATTTTTTCTGGTGGAAAGCTGGGTCACACCTGGTGGCCTGCAGTTGCTATGCTCAGAAGTGACCCCTCTTGATGCTCAGAGGACGACATAATGGTGGGGGGAACAAACGGGTTTGCCACAAGCAAGGCCTGTTCTCTACCTCCTAGAGTGTCTCTCTGGCAACCCAGGGAGTCATTTTGGTGCTGGAGAATGGTGCAAGAACTTTAGTGCTGGGTGCAGTGTGATACATGTATCAAGTATTTTTTTTAATTTTTGTAACTTTGTAATTTACAGTGTTTCAGTTTTTTTATTTTTTATTTATTGAATCACTGTGAGAACAGTCACAAAGACATGTATCAAGCTTTAAAGCTAAAGTCCTGAAAGTTATTAAGTGCTGTAGGCTAATGGTATATCAAAAGAAGGAAAATGATCTAAAAATAAATGTCAAAAGTTAGAGAGAATATTAAAAGCAGCAAAAGAATACCACACTATTATACAAAGTTAAGTTCCTGAGACTCAACAGATTTTAGCAGAAGAGATGGGCCAGAATAAAGTGGCATGATTTAATCAATACATTAAAAATAAAATGAACCAATACGACACTATCCAATTTGGGTATTATTTAGAATGGAAGGAGAGAGAAGTTTTCCAGGAAGCAAAAGTAAAGTGCTAACATGAAAAAAAAAATGGTTTTAAGTTGAAAATAGAAATGACAAAGGAAAGGTGAAAACCCTGATTGACCTCTAGTACTACCATTAAGATAAATAAAAGGAGAAATAAAAATATAGTTAAATGTGACATAAAAACTACAGGAAAGAGAAAAGTAACGTAAATAGGGAAGAGTTCATAAATTTAGACATTTCTCCAGATATCTGAAAACTGCAGAAAAACAATCTATTTTTACATCTATAGGAAAAAGGGGAGAAAAAAAGTCCAAAAATGAAAAAAATCCAAAACTAATACAAGAAAGAAAAATATACAGATCAAAGCAGAAACAGATGAAAGACCGAAAAGGAGCTGAAAAGATAGTACAGTGGGTAGAGATTCCGCCTTACAGCAAACCTGGGTTTCCACTTCCAGCATCACAAATGGTACCCCAAGCCCCACCAAGAGTGATCCCTGAGCACAGAGCCAATAATGTCCCTGAGCACGAGTGGTGTGCACCCCCTCTTCCCCTCAAAGGAAAGGTCAATGAAAGAGCTGGTTCTCTGAAAAGACAAAATTAACAATCTTTAAATTAGATTCCAGGGAGAAAGGAAGGTTCAAATATAAATATATCTTGTGTACCAACAAACTCTGCCACTCAGAAGAAAGGCATACATTTCTAGTAACGTGCAATTGTCAAAGACTGTATGAATATAAACCAGACTGTATAAGTCTGAATCAGGATAATGGGAAATATGAACAGACTAAATGGCAAAGAGATGACTCTTTTTGTTTGTTTTAGGACTATACCCGGCGATGCTCGGGGGTCACTCCTAGCCCCGCACTCAGGAATCCCTCCTGGGGGCCGGAGCCACACTGAGTAAGGCGTCTGCCTGCAGGCTGCCAACCAGGACATCACATATAATCCCCTGAGTTTGCCATAATTCCTCGGCACAGAGCTAGGAATAACCCCTGGGCATTGCTGGGTGTGACCCCAAAATCTTAAGGGGAAAAAAAAAAGGAATCACTTCTGGAAGTGCTCAGGGGCCATATGGAATGCTGGGAATGGAAGCTGGCCAAGTGCAAGGCAAGTGCTCTACCCACTGTACTATCCCTCGCTACAATTTCAAAGAAAAGTTCAAGACTTGAAGATGTTCCTGGTGAATAATAGTCAAAGATTTAAGATCCATGCTGTCAAATATTCCATCCTGTGCAAAACAACTTATAGATTCAAAACAATGCATCAAAATTTCAATTTTTCATAGAAATAGAAGAGTAAAATTTGCATGAAACTAAAAAAGCCAAAACAATACCAAAAAAAAAAAAAGAATACTCCCTTGGGGCTGGAGAGATAGTACAGCTGGAGCACACCTGCTTTGCATGTGGACAACCTAGGTTTGATTCCCGGCATCCTACAGGGTCCTCCAAGCATCTCCAGGAGCAATTCCTGAGTGCAGAATCAGGAGTAACCCTAAACATTGCAGGATACGGCCCAGAACAAAATAAAAAGACCGAAAATTATTTTCAGTTATCTTCTAAAGCCATAGTAATGGTACTGGCAAATAGGGAAAAAACCTCCAACATAACAGAGAGCCAGAAAGAACCCCAAACATATATGGTCGATTAATTTATAAGCAGGAGGAAAGACTATACAATGGGTGAGAGATAGTTTCTTCAACTAATGGTACTGGGAAAATGAGACTCCTATATGAGTAAGAACGAAGCAAGACCACTGTGTTATGCAAAATACAAAAACCATCTCAAAATGAATTTAAAGACCTGGATGTACAACTTGCAATGATAAAGCTCCTGGAAGAAAGCATAGGTGCTAAGCTCTTTAGCAGTGTGGTTGAAAGGCAAGTGACTGAATGGGAGAAGACGCACACATTAGGAGTAACAAAGGGTGAACATCCAAAGTGTATTGAAGAGGCTCCGATTAGATTGTTTGTCAAAGATATACCCATAGGTGACATATTAAAAAAGGTATTTATCATACTTATCAGAGAAATTTAAATAACAAATGAGTTATCAACTCCTAACTGGTAAATGGCAATTGTAAAAAAAAAAAAAAGCAAGAAATAACTGTAGGACTGTAGCACTGTCCTCCTGTTGTTCATTGATTTTGCTTGAGTGGGCACCAGTAACCTCTCCATTGTGAGAACTTGTTGTTACTATTTTTGGCATATTAAATACACCACAGGGAGCTTGCCAGGCTCTGCCCTGCGGGCAGGATACTCTCGGTAGCTTGCTGGACTCCCCAAGAGGGACAGAGGAATCGAACCCGGGTTGGCCACGTGCAAGGCAAACGCCCTACCCGCTGTGCTAAAATTTACTTAAACACACACAATGGAATACTACTCAAGCAATAAAAATACCTTCCTATTTGTGATGACATGAATTTTGAGGGTATTGTGCTAGTGAAGCAAGTTAGGAGAAAAACTGCACTGTAGCCCTGTCCTCCTATTGTGCATCAATTTGCAGGAATGAGCCCAGTAACGTCTCCATTGTGAGACTTGCTGTTACTGTGTCTGGCATATCGAATACGTCACTGGTAGCTTGCCAGGCTTTGCCGTGTGGGCGAGATACTCGCCAATATGATTTTTATTTTGTGGAATGTAAAGAAACCAAACCACAAACAAGAACAAGTCAAAAACAAACTCGTGGAGTGGAAAGACAGTACAGCAGATGGGGCCCCGCCGTGCAGGAGGCTGACCAGGGGTCAGTCCCTGGCACCAAAAATGGTTCCCTAAGCCCTGCCAGGAGTGATCCCCGAGATGTGCTGGGTGTGGCTCCCTCCAAAACAAAATACGTAAATAAGAATTCCAAGTGAACTCATATATATATATGACTTGATGATTCAGTACAGGCTGAACTGCAGTATACCACGATGGTCCCAATAGGCTGTACTACATTCATAACTACCTCGACTTGTGTAAGTAGTAGCAATGCATTTCTCAGAATGTATTACTGTCTCTATGTAATGCATGCCTATGTAGAGAATAGACTGGTGGTTATCAGAGGGTAAGTTAAAGATAGTCAATAGGTTGGAGAGATATGTAGTGGGTAACGTGTTTGGCTTGCAAGCTGCTAATGTGGTTTTATCCCTGGCACCACCAGGAGTCACCCCTGAGCACAGAGTTAGGAAGTCCTGAAAAAGCTTGAGTAAGCCTTCCTCATACCCTGAGTAAACTGGGTAATGATCTCAAACAAAAAAAGATACTCAATATTAAGAAAGCAGACTTTTGTGGTGATCATGATGCAGTTACATATGATGTCAAATTATAATGCTATATGCCTAAAAATTTTTATGTATAAACCTGTGATGTTTCAAAATAAAATCTTACAAATTGCTATTACAGAAGAAAACTATCATTAACCTTTGACTTAAAAAATTGTAGTCTCTATGCACTACTGTAAACCTAAATGACAGATTTATACTAGATCTAGTTATTATATTGAAATATGCAATGTTTAAAATGAAAGAGACTACAAAATATTTTATTATTTATACATCATTTTATATTTCCTAACATTTTACATTATTTGAAACCCATATACTTCTTGCTAATAGGAAATTGAAGTATCCATGAAATAGTACTGCCTTTTGTTCAACTTAAATTCTTGAAGCACTGTAGGAGACTAAGCTATAAAGGAAAACTAGAGTAACAGGTTCTCTCTTTTTTTGCTTCTGTGCCAGCTAGTGACTTTGGGAGGTGGGACCTAATAGGTCTGAATACCAAATGACCCTAGCGGCAGCAAACCCCCTTACCTGCAAGGTAACGGATTGTCTCAAGCTTGTTGGATTCCATCAGTGTTTTTAAAGAAGCAATTTCAGTATCAATTTTATTACCCGTCTCTGAAATAATACTTCTGGTTTTGGTATCCTACAAATAAAAATAAATAAGACAACCATTATCCCTACATATTACTACAAAACTATGTATTATTTGCTCATTTCTGAGCTAATGATGCTTTCCACAAATTTTAATTAGTCTAGCAGCAAAGCACAGTGATAAAAAGAAAATGACATGACAGTTCAGTAGAGGCTGGACTGCATGGTGGTCACAACAGACTAGACTGTGTTATATGTGTGATAGTTTATAATCACCTTGACTTATCTAAGTACTAGCAATGCATTTGAAACTTACAAAAATTACAAAGGAATATTACAAACAAACATTAATACAAACTGACAAAAATTTATACCTTCTATTTTGTTATTTGGAGAATTATTTTTTTAGTTTTCACTTAATTAGAAATTTCTTTTAAATAAAAAATTTATATTTGAAGTTTAATACTAAAATATTTAAGTCTATGTTAAAAATGTAAATAAAAGATAATTTAGTACTTCCTCTTTATAAAAAATTTTTTTATTTAGTCAGTGTGAAGCTGCAAAGTTATTTATGGTGGAGTTTCAGGTACAGAATATTTCAACCCTGCTTCACCAGGGTCCACTTCCTTGCATCAATCCTGCCCCACCCCCACGGTCTCCCACCCACCAGTCTGAGCACTCCCTCTCTATCAAATAAAGGTCATCCTTCAGGTACGTGTTTTCTTCAGAATGAACTGCACAGACTATTTCTGTGTTCATCCTCCATGTCACATGCTCCAACCCACTGGTGCCCATGAAGAACAGGACTTGTGTGGCTGTGACTGAATCCTGTCTCTTTCCACCACAACTGCTCAACTGCCCTCAAGAGGCCTTTTCTCTCCACTTAGTGCTCAAGGGTGCAGAAGGGATAAGCACCTACACAAGATATTATGAGGATATGCCAGATGGCATCTTCCAGGAAGTGGAACAGGGCCAGCAACGACACAGCAATTCTGGATGAATATGAGTCACATAGAGCAGTAGAGATTAGGAGAGAGAGCACTTAATCATTTCACACACGATCTCCATCAGTGATTTTGGAGTCATTTCTTAGCATTAACACCTCTGGGCAATTTGTACTAAAAGCTTCAGAGTAAGGCATTTGACCCCTAATTGTCTGAAAGGATAAATCATACACAAAATTCTACTCTCAGAACTACCATAAAGTCCTAAGACAGCATAGATAAACTGCAAAAAATATTTCCGGGGGACTGGAGAAGTAGTACAGGGGCTAATTATGATACTTGCCTTGCATGTGGCTGACCCTAGTTCAAGTCCTGGAACTGCAGACGGTCCCTAAGCACTACCAGGACTAAACACTGAGCAGAGTGAGGTCTGGCCCCAAAACCAAAAGAACAAAACAGATTTCTTTTTTCTGCAAAAGAAAAATCCAACCATTTCCTTGAACTTATTAAAGGAAATGGCAGAAATTCCCACTGGGTAACACAAATGATATGCGAGTAGTGGTCTGGGGGTAAAAGAACAAAGATGATGGTACTCAGAGGCAGAAAGTCAGTTCGAGACGTGTCAATTTTCTTGCTTATCCCCATTATCTGGCCAAGAGAACAGGAGGCCTGGAAGGACAAACTGCCATATCCAGTTCCAGTAAACCCTAACTTAAAATCTTTGATAGGTTCTTGGAAACTGAGTGTAAGTGAAAGAAAGAATACATGACAAAAACAGGTTATCGTTATTTTATTCACTACTGATCAGGCTTATTTCTTTCCTCAATAATGACAAATTAGATGGAATGAAATAAATGGAATCAGGTTATTGGAGGCATTGGCTCTATATGCAATAAAGAGAACTTCTATTAAAACCCTTAAGAAAAGCACTAAGCTGAGTGGGAAAGCCGGGTTTTACTCAAGTCAGAAAAATAAATGGATACAATTTAGGATTACTGAGGAGGCAAACAGAAGTTAAGTGTGGGGTTTAGGATGTAGGTTTATATCCTGGCTTTGTCACTGATTAACTCTGCCAGGTTTCCAAATTATGTGGCCTCATTTTCCAAATTGATAGGAAGGAAATACTGCCCACGTTACACAAGATGATATGATGATAAACAGAAATGAAAGTATCTGTTCTATAATAGACACTTGATAAATACAATTTCAAAAAAGAAAATGGGGGTAGGGTAGGGTTGTGCCACACCCAACAGTGCTCAGAGCTAACTCCTGGCTCTGTGCTCTGGGATCACTTAATGGAGGTGCGTGGAAGACTATTGCAGTGCTGGGGATCAAACCAGGGTTGGCTGCCTTAATCTTTGTCTATCTCCAAGATAATTCTTTTATTTTTTTTTTTTTTTGCATTTTGGGTCACACCCAGCGATGTACAGGGGTTACTCCCGGCTCTGCACTCAGGAATCACCCCTGGCGGTGCTCAGGGGACCATATGGGATGCTGGAAATCGAACCCGGGTTGGCCGCGTGCAAGGCAAACGCCCTACCAGCTGTGCTATCACTCCAGCCCCTCCAAGATAATTCTTTAACTGGAAAATTCTTTAATTGGATCTATTTAAATACTAATTGTGGGTCCTTGTCTTTTAAAAAATACCTGTAAGTACAACTTAGTTTTAAAATTGTATGCCACCTGAAAAACTTGATTCTTGTTCAGGTACTACCATCCAGCTGGTGGCAAGTTTTCCGAGTATTTTGGCTGATTGTAGAGCTATGATACAACCATGGATTTTCAAGGGCTCTCCTTTTAAAGCCCAAAATTATAAAAATAGTACATAAAAGCGCACACAAAAGGAAAAGCAGTTGTATGAAAGATTTTTACATACTAGCTTACTTTATTGGTGAATTCTGTGGTTGCTTCCATAAGTTTCTTTTCTTGATCTGTAAACTAAAGAAATGATGCATCAGGAGGTTAACTGAAAGCTAAATGTGATTAAAAAATCAGTAATCAGGAAAGTATATTTAAAAGCACACTACCATATCAGTCACTCTGCTCCTTTCTAAGTTGATGTCCAGTTTATTATCTGCTCTGATTCGACTGGTTTCATTCTTAAAGAAAACAAATGATTTTTAAAAATATCTTATAATGAGTATTTTTCTCTAAAACTACTAAAATATTTTGAAGTGGGGGAAGAAAGTTTCACTTACTATCAGTTGTTGCTTAACTTGCTCTAATTCAATTTTCATTTTCTGGGCATAAGAGAGGTTATATGAAATTAGCATTAAAATAAAAACCCCATACTACGAAAATATCAGGTTAGGATTCGGAAATATTAGACAATCTATATTTCTAATATAGAATTTGATTAAAAATAAATGCAGGGCAAGACAGGTTGTGCAGCACAGGGTTAAAGCACTTGCTTTGCATCTGACTGACCATCGTACAATCACTGGCACTGCCTCTGGTCCTTCAAGCTCAGAGCTGGAGCACTTTAAGCACTGAACAGGAAGAAGCCCCTGAGCACCACTGGCATAGCACAAGTGCAACCCCCACACTCAAAATGCAATAAAGAAGTAATATTTTAACTTTTCCAGAAAATAATACTTCTGAACACTGTCACTGTCCTCCCGTTGTTCATCGATTTTCTCCCGCGGCCCCAGTAACATCTCTATTGTGAGATTTGTTGTTTCTGTGTCTGGCATATCGAATACGTCACAGGGCGCTTGCCAGGCTTTGCCATGCGGGCAAGATACTCTTGGTAGCTTGCCGGGCACTCTGAGAGGGGCGGAGGAATCGAACCCGGGTCGGCCATGTTGGCCGCGTGCAAGGCAAACGCCCTACCCACGGTGCTATCGCTCCAGCCCCACTTCTGAACAAAACAATACAAATGTGTTTGTGCTTTAGTATTCTACTTTGGAAAATAAAATTTTAAACCTAATAATTAGTAGCAACAAAATTCTGATTTAATTCAAACCATTTGTCTTAGGTGTTGAAAACTATTAGTACAAAAATGAAATAGAAAGTGTTACCTTATTTACAACCGATATGCTATAGGCCTTACCAAAACTTTATATAAAGAGCTTAAAAATTCTCTCGTGTGACTTTTATGGCTAAGCATATAGTAACTTTCATCTAAAAACATAACAATAACCACAGTTCACCAACTAGGTGAATTCTTGTTACTTTGTTATTAGTAAAAAATTGAAAGCTCTATCACCTGGTTTTCTTCTCTCAGATTTGCAAATTCACTTTTCTCTAGGATAACCATGTCTTTCCTGATGGAGTCCAAATGAGCCATTAGCTGTTGTACAGTGATTTCCTAGAAAACACAATTAAAATAACTTAGTGCCCTATAGTGGGATTTCTACTATTGAGACTGACCTCCTTTTGTCAAAGAGGCAAGTGCCATCAGAAACTATCTGGATTCATTACATGGCTAATTTTGAATTGACTTGTGGTTGTGTTGTGTTCAGAAACCGGTTATTGTTGCCCAATTTTTTAAGTCCCCATCCCTATTCAGTTATATGACCCCATATGGGGTTGCAACCCATAGTTTAATAAGTTAGGACTTATGGGATGCCATTCCTTTATTTGGAATTGTTTAATGAACTTGATTAAGATATAAGCCATAATGCTGCTTGACTAAATAATAAAATGTAAAAAAAAATGAAACCTATATATCTGAAATATTTAAATTAAAAGAACATGAGACTCAAGGAAGAAGTACTTCTCAGTGAAGAAAAATAAGTACCTGAATCTTTTTATTCAAAGGACCCCTGCCTGTGCTTGCTTAACTTTGAAGAATTCTCAACAAACAATGTTTTAAAATGTTTTTCAATACCTAATACAAAGGATTTTTTTTCATGACTTTGAGGCATTTTCTATGATGAGAAAATTCCAGCCATTGAAGTAATATAACACAGTAAGTAGAAGTATGGCTTAGATAATTATCTCTTACAGCATAACATCTTAAGTTCCTGGTTGATCTATTTTTTTATTGGCAGGCACTACAAAGAATATGTGAAAGGAGAGGTGGCCATCGGAATTGGTTTAAGAGGGTGATGTAGGAATTGCTAGGCTCTCCTCCCAGAGAAAGATCAAATATATGACCAATTGTTATCTAACAAAACAATTCTGACTGAAAAAGGTCCACGAGGGGAACAGTTCCTCCACAAGAGGAAGGAGCAGAAGTAGAGACTTTGTTTTGCAAAGAAAGGCCACACCAAACACAGCGACCCACATGTGGAGGAATCTCACAGATACAGATCCTCCCTGAAGAGGGAGGAGTGTGTGTGGTGTGCATGGCCACATCTGGCACCCCCTAGGGCCTTGCTGGAAGGACATGTCTACCTTTGAAAATCAAAGGAGCTTGTGAACAAGAGACAAAGACAGGGCGGGACAGAGAGCTCGAACTCTCTGTGCTGGGCAAGAGTGTAAACTCACCCAGGGGTGCAGTGCAAAATCAGGAGCTCGAGAAACATGTATGTCTTATGTGAAGACTCATTCAAAGCAGATGCGGGGTTGGGGGCCAAGGGTAGTGGGGCAGGGATGATTGGAATTCATTCTGGGGCAAAGGCAAGGATAGTGTCTGTTGGCTTGGCCCTGAACACTGGGTGTGGCCCCCAAACAAAAAAACAACAAACCCCCCCCCCCAAACAAGACTCCAAAGACAGTGCTAAAGAAGTTATCAAGTTATCAAACAAAGCACAAGGGAAGAGAGCAAGAAACAGGAACAACAAAAATAATCAAGAAATGGCCATAGAGGCTGGAGAGATAGCACAACGGGTAAGGCGTTTGCCTTGCACACACAGCTAACCCGGGTTCGATTCCTAGCATCCCATATGGTCCCCTGAGCACTGCCAGGAGTAACTCCTGATTGCTGAGCCAGGAGTACCCCTGTGCATTGCCAGGTGTGACCCAAAAAGCAAATAAATAAATAAAATGGCCATAGACATCATCAGCTTATTAATAATCATTTTACATATAAATGTTCTAAATTCTTCAATTAAAAAAACAGCTGTTGAACTGAGAGAAAGATAGGACTTATTTGATTAATGTCTAGAAGGAACCTTACTTTAGATGTAAAGACAACCAGATTGAAAGTTGAAGAGATGAAAAAAGTTATTTCACTCAAGTGAAATTAAGAGAGATGATAAAATGGATGAAACATTTTAAAACAAAGTCTTAAGTAAAGACAAGGATATTAAGATAAAGGTATCAACCCAAATAAGAGCATATAATAATTATAAATATTTATTCAACCATCAACCCAATAAGAATATATAATAACTATAAATATTTCTTCAACTAACCACCACACCTACACATATAAAACAGATCTAATTGGCCTTGAGACAAACTGACAGCAACATAATAGAAGGGGAATTTTAATGCTCTACTTACACCTGTGGATATATCATCCAGATAGAAAAAAAAATATTGGCCTTAAAGAACACTCTGGGGGAACATATGGAATGCTGACGATTGAACCTGGGCCGGCTGCAGGCAAGGCAACTGCCCTAGCATCTCTACTACCACTCTGGCCCGTCAATGGACACTGAACACTTAAGACTCAGTAAATATAAACAGAACACAATATTCCTTCCAAACGCACAATCTTCTTAAGTGCATACTGACATAGTTCAGGACAGAGACTATGCTTTAGGCCACAATGAAGATCCAATAAGTTTAAGAAGGTTGAAAGGGCCACAGAATGCAACAGTACAAAAACAGAATTCAATTACAAGACAAAGACAAGCTACTGAGTGACTTTCAAGTCAACAAAGAAATCTAAGAGGAAATTAAAAAGCACCTTGAGATAAACAAACAAAAAAAAAGGGCATTTAATACATCAAAAAACATAGGATGAAGCAAAATCAGATCTAAGAGGGAAAGTTACTAGTGATACAGGCCTATTTCAAGTGACGAGTAGTATCTCCAAACTTTTAAAAATATTGAACATAAAAAACACAGAAAAAGAGCAAATATAGTTAAGTTTGCAGAGGAAGGAAATAATAAAGATGAGAAAATAAATACCTGAAACTAAAATAACGTATGTTTGTTGTGTTTCGATATAAAAGAAGGGTCTACATAATATTTACAAAGTTTTGCTTTGCTAGGGATTTCTTCTTAATTGATTTAAATACAGTTGATCAGGCACACATTGTTCCAACACCAATCCCTCTGCCAGTGTGATCTTCCTAAGGATTAACATCGTCTAGAAATTATTTAGGGTCTGGAGCTATAGTACAGCGGGTAGGGTGTTTGCCTTGCATGTGGCCAACCTGGGTTCGATCCCCGGCATCCCATATGGCTCCCTGAGCACTGCCAGAAGCAATTCCTGGCACAGAGTCAGGAGTAGCCCCTGAGCATCTCTGGTATGGCCCAAAAACAAACAAGCAAAACAAAAATTTATTTAAGGCAGGTCAGAAGAAAACGTAACTCTCAACTACAGATGAGAATTCTCACACGAGGAGCTGAGACTGGAGTCCAGTGATTATAGCCAGCCTTGCATGGGAAGTCCTGGCACCACAAAAGACAGAAAGCACACAGACTGCAAACTCCTCCCTTTTCCAAGCCCATTAATAAAAGGTTTAAAAAAAAAAAAGAGGAAGAAAACAAGAGAAAGAACAGAATCACTAGAGGGACTACCGTTTTCAGTCAGATTTGTAACCTGGAATTCACTGCTGGTATTACAGTCCTCTATTGATACGTATGGGGAAGAAAGACCATTTCAAAACTGATTTAACGTTTCAAAAACAGGCTGTAATGGAGGACATGACTAAAAATGACTCAGGTTTAATGGGCGTGGAATGCACACATCTTCAAAAAGAATTACCAAATATTACAGTCAGCAGAAAACAGACGCAAAAATGTGAGTTCTGGAGTCTGGCCACCAAGATTTGCATTCAGGATGGACCGGCAAAATGGAAAGAATAAGAGTGCCTACATATTGCAATTATTTTGAAGATTAGATGATTAAGCATGTAAATGGTACTTGGCTCATGGGCTAGCATTCAAGTCCTGTCAACCATTACCTCTGGAGTTAAAACAGTCTGACTCCAATGTTTTAATCTGGAGAAAACGGCCTTAAATGTTAATTCTAGGGGCCAGAGCATAGTACAGTGCGTAGGATGTTTGCCTTGAGCATGGCCAACCAGGGTTTAATCCCGGCTTCCCATATGGTCCCTGAGTCCATCAGGAGTAATTCTCAAGAAGACAACCAGGAATAACCCCTGAGCATCGCCAGGTGTGGCCACAAAACAAACAAAAAAACCAGCTGAATATTAATTCTACCACATATTAAAAAGCAGTTTTTACTGTATTTACGTAAATCTTCACTAAAGTTATCATAGTACTGAGACTTTTAAATCGGAGAGTTGAAAATGTAATTACAGGTATTTCTTGTGCTGTCTGAACCTCCTAAGTGATTGCACTATGACCCAAATAACCTCTTTTCATTATTTTCCTCCTTTAAAGTTTGTAACTTAAAAAGAAATCTATAAAACAGCAGTCACCCATTAAAAACCTAAAGTAGAAAAATACTGTTCAGTATTAGTCAAATCTATTACAAGTATGACGACTGAAACTACTATAGAAGTGGTTTTTTTTTCCATAGAGACTATCATGGATTTGTATTTATTGTCTCTTTAGAAAGAGAGGTGCAAATATTGTGTGGAAGATGGATGAGTAGACATATAAGATTTCGAAAAGAACTGTCCAATGCTAATGTCCCAGGTGATAAAAATGAAGACATTACCTGCTGAGCTTGGGTGACCATCTCTTTATAGATGGTATCAAGGCTGACATTTGATAAAGTGGTTAATGCTGACACAATTGTTTCTGCTTGTGCTTTGTCAAATCCTGGAAACAGATATTTACATTTTTAAAGTACATTAGGATAGATATCATGACTTTCCTAACATTTAAATTGCTATACACTTAATTTATTTTAATTGAATCACCATGCGACACAAAGCCTTCATGATTGAGTTTCAGTCATACATGACCAAATATCCATCCCTCCACCTGTGCACATTTCCACCACCAGTATTCCCAGTATCCCTCCCGCCAACCCCACCCCATCCCAACCCCTGCCTCTATGGCCGACACCTTCCTTTTTACTCTCTACTATTGGGCATTATGGTTTGCAACAGATTAAAACATGGTTCTGATATGGCAGGAGAGAGTAGAGGGGAGGGCACTTGCCCTGCACATGGCAGACCTGGGTTGGACTTTCCACACTTCAGATGATCTTTCAAGATCTGCCAGCAGGTCCAGGACTAAGCCCAGAGCACTGTCAGCTGTGGCCTTCTCCCAAATGACAATGACCAGTTTGATACATTACTCTCTAAAAGATTTTATAAGGTTTTTTTTCTTCCCACACCTGGGTTTTCTCCTGGCTTTGTGATCACTCCTGGCGGGCTCTGTGGGGGACCATGTGGGATGCTGGGGATTGAACCTAGGTTGTTTTCAAGCAACACCAGGAACAATTTTTATTTTCATTTTTATTATTTAATTTGGGGTAAGTAGAATGCAAGGCAAGCACCTCAGCCCCCGTACTGCAAAATATTTCATTGTATAGACAGTATTTGTATAGTCATACCTAGGTAATTCATTTAAGGTTTTTTTTTTTTTTTATTGAATCACCATGAATCACAAAGAGATTCAAGACTGAATTTCAAGAGTACAGAGTTCCAACAACAACCCCTTCATCACTGTCCACTTCCCTCCACCAACGCCCCCCGTTTCCCGCCTGCCTGCCTGAGAGGCACTTTTTTCTTTCTCCTTTTCCTTCCCCTCCCTGGCCCGGCTACTAGGCACTTGGGTTTACAAAACTGCTACTGATCATACATATCACTTTACCTCCTTTCAGCTTGACTAGGTAATTTATTATGAGTGCTGTTTATTTGTTTTTTTTTTCAAGAAGTGCCTGTGTGTCTCACCATGTGTTTCCAAGTCCTGAACCAACGCGTGGGTATCAAAAGTCAACTTTCTCTGTTCTAAAGGAGTTAGGTCCACCCGTCTCACGTCGTATCCTTCTTTGCTTGTGGTGGTTAGGAAATCTGAAAATAAAGAATGATGTTTTGAAATTTCCTATGATGGAGATTTAGTGGAAAGCTCACACTTCAAATTCTAGACGATTTTTCCATTATTAATAAAGCAGTTTCAGCTCTTCTATGTAGGAATTCTGTCATCTCAAGATAACTGACTCCTCTGAGCTCCCAACTCTGTCTCCAACAGTCGGCTACATAGTATTTCATCTCTTCCTTCTGTTATTGCTGGGGCTGGAGTGTTAGCACAGTGGGTAGGGCGTTTGCCTTGCACACTGCTGACCTGGGTTCAATTCCCGGCATCCCATATGATCCCCCGAGCACCGCCAGGAGTAATTTCTGAGTGCATGTGCCAGGAGGAACTCCCTGTGCATTACCCGGTGTGACCCAGAAAGAAACAAAAAGATCCTGCTAAGAGTTTTAAAAATTATACATCTCACAAGCTTTGGCTATCAGTGTCTCAACTGGAGTAGAGGTTGTCTGACTCACTTAACTCAGTGCTCAGTTTTCTGTATCTATTGATACCCACGACAACTTTTTTTTCTTTTTTGGATTTCTGGGTCACACCCAGTCATGCTCAGGGGTCACTCCTGGCTCTGCACTCAGGAATTAATCCTGGTGGTGCTTGGGGGACCACGTGGGACTTCGAGGATTGAACCTGGATCCGCCGAGTGCAAGGCAAATGGCCTACAATTAAGAAATGTATTGGAGTGAACAGAAAAGTGCCTGGCAACATTTCTCCGTAAATTCAAATACCCTATTCTAGTTTACTTTTGTGGCCCTGGATCTGATCTCACACTTGGGAAGTATGTTGCTGTTTTGCTCAGCTTCATTCCTAGGCCTCCAATGAAACCCCGTTTCTATCTAGCAGGAGTAATTCCTTTCCCATACACGTGATTGCCCAAAATTCATCCCAAAATTTAGCATTTAAAATTGGTGTTTGTGGTGTCTGGGCCACCCCCAGTAGTGCTCAGGGTTAACTCCCGGCTCTGCACCCAGGAATCACTCCTGGTGGGCATATGGGAGGCACCTGGGAGGCACATGGGAGGCACATGGGATGCCAAGGGATCCAGGCCGGGTAGACCGCATGCAAGGCAAGCACCCAATCGAGCCACTGTCCTATCTCGCTCTAAAACATGAACTTTTGAATCAAGATCGTTAAAAATGTTAGAGGTCAAAAGCTTCGCCCAGAGACGTGATCACGGGGTGGAATAAGAATTCCCTCTTCCTATGGTGATGCACTTTGCAGCAGGACGCACGCTTCAAAGTCCAGGTCCTTTGCACCGGGGCCAGGGAGCGCAGAGCTGGGAGGGCCCTTGCCTGGCACGAGGCCAACCCCCCTCGGCCCCCCGGGCACCACTGGGTGGGTGTGGCCCCCAGAGAGAGGAAAACAAGACACCAGCCCGCATCCGGCAACCCCACCCACCCAGGGAGGGGCGTGGGGGCGTGGGAGATCGGAGCCGCTACGGGCCCGCGGGGGTGGGGGGGGGGGGCGGGTCCGAGCCGTCTCCGGCGTCAACCCAGCCTGCACCGGCCCCGCGGAATCAATCGATCGCGCCTCCGGCAACCGCATCCGGGAATCGATCCGATCGATCAAGCCCTCTGCAACTGGCTCCGGAGTCAAGCCACCCCGCGGCCGCCCGGGAGACGCGGGACCGAGCCCGAGCGCCCGGGCCGGGCCTCCCCTCACCTCTGCTCAGGGCCGGGGGGACGCTGAGCCCGCGGGGGGCGGGGAGCCGGCGCCCCCCACGCCCTGCGCCCCGCAGCAGCCTCCCGAGCCGGCGCCTCCACATCCCTCCGGGCTTTCCGCGGGACTCGGCGGCCGGCGGCGGGGCGCGCGCGGGCTCTTGGGAAACGTAGTCCCGCCGCCGGGGATGCTGGGAAGTGTAGTTTCCGGCGGCGGGCGGCGCTGCGTCCCGCCCGAGGTCTCGCGAGGCTGCCCCGGTAGCCAAGACCCGCTTCGCGGACGGAGCGGGCGCGACTACATTTCCCAGAAGGCCCTGCGCGGGCTGCGCTGGGCGGGCCGCGCAGGGCCTTCTGGGAAATGTAGTCGCGCCCGCTCGGCTGGTGCTGCTGCTGCTGCTGCGGCTGCTTTCTTGCTTTGGGGCAAAACCACTGTTTCTCGGTGGATGAGGTGTTCGTAGACACTTAACCTTCTTAAGAGCTCGATCTAAGGTTTTGCTCTACATACCAAAGTGCTATAAAAAAAAATTAGTGATGGGATTTCAATGGACTTAAACATGATCAGTGAGTGCTCAGATGGCACGTGATTGTTATGTGGGTGACTTGATTCTTTTCCCAAAGCTGTGAACAGTCAACCACTAGGCTTCCTTTTTTTAAAGTTATTTTTCTAGAGCATTACAAATCCACTCATGATTGGATTTTATTCATACAGTATTCCAACACCCATCCTTCCACCAGTGTGTATTTCCCGTCACCGATGTCCCCAGGTTCCCTCCCATCACTATCCCACCCGGATCCCTTGCCTCCCTCTTTGGTAGGCTCTTCTCTTATCTCTGTCTCTCTGTCTGTCTATCTGTCTCTCCCTCTCTTCCCTCCCCCCACCATCTCTCTTTTTGGGCATTGTGGTTTGCACTATTGATAGTGAAAAGTTGTTAAGAATGTCCCGTACCTGGCTCATCTCACCCAGGTACCCACCCGCGGGCAGGGCTCCTTCCTGGGGCTGCGCGGCTAGCTAGAGTCCCCAGAGAGTGGCGGGTTTTCATCCTTGATCTGCGAGGGACGGGAATTGAGGCACACAACGCGCAACCAAAGCTGAACAGTTCTGGGCACCCTCTGCTCATCTAACCCAGGTACCTGCCTGGCATCAGTGCTCCTTCCTGGAGCCATGGCTGCATTAGTGGCCACCAGTTATTCTCCCCCTACATATCCCATAGATAGCACAGCGGGTAGGGCGTTTGCCTTATAAGCGGCCAACATGGCCGACCCGAGTTCGATTCCTCCGCCCCTCTCGGAGAGCCCGGCAAGCTACCGAGAGTATTCGATATGCCAGACACAGTAACAACAAAGTCTCCAATGGAGACGTTACTGGGCCCGCTTGAGCAAATCGACGATCAACGGGAGGGCCTTTACCTTTACCTTACCTTTACATATCCCATAGGAACCATAAGTTACCCCTTAGATGGAACTTTCACTAGGTTACCTTAACCTCCAGAAACACATTAGCCAATAATTCACTAAGCCCACCTCAATTAATACTGCATCATAAGCAGAATAGTAACAGAGAACGTGAAGGGCTAAACCTCACAGGTCACAATGGTAAAGTAACGCAGAGGCCCACCAAGCTTACTTATTGAAGAGGCTAGGCCAAAAGATCCCAACCGTAATGAAGTTCTAGATAACCTCTCTGACAAGGAATTTAGAAAGGAGCTACTGAGGATGCTTAGGGAGCTAAAAGAAACAATGAAAAGCAATGCCAATAAAAGACACGAGTATTTGAAGGTAGAAATGAGGAAAATGCAAACATACCGTTAATACTATGCTTTGTAACTTAGGATTTAATTGGCTTCGGATATTATTCACTCCTGGGGATCTGCTTTCTCGACTTAAGCCTCAGTTGCCCTTGGTTCCTAACACCCGCAACAGCAAGGTCCCGACGAGGGACTGAATGGACCCAGGGCAAGCGGTGAGCTACACTGGCATCGAAATGGACCAGGCCAAATTGCCATGATCGTTAACTATAAGAGCTTGATCATAGACAAATGCTGTCATGATCCAAAAGTAATGATGAGAGTAGGACCCTGCTAGGGATAGGAAAGACTATCTGGCCTGAGCACTGTAGTCTGAAATCGAGATGGCCCTATGAGAGCAATTCTATAAATTTAAGGTATTTCTTACTGTACCCGTACAAAATGATTTATAATATGTATGCTTATGTGTTTGTTGGACAAGAAGAGGAGAAACACACCCAGGGGATTCCGTTCTAGGGTGGGTTGACCTGATAAGGAGAATCTGTCCTAGGAGCGGCTTTCCCTGAGGGAAAGAACTTTACCTCTATTGCTTGTGAACACACCGATGTGTAATTGTTACCCCAACACCTCATGCTTGGGGATATAATGAGACTGTAAGAGTGGGCTAGGGGAGGCAGAGGAGAGACAAGAGTGAATGGAGAGAGGATTGGAATAAACTGCAACTAAGACCAACCAGCCTGGTTCTCATTCCTTCCTTCACCTGCCCATCGCCATCGACCTCCCCGGGATGGGGGGACCAGCATGAGACTACCGAATGCGGCGGCAGGAGAGATAGACTACTGCTGCTGTCTTTTTGAGTTTACACAAAGTTTCACTCAGTTATTCTTTTTTTTTCTTTTTGGGTCACACCCAGCGATGCTCAGGGGTTACTCCTGGCTCTACACTCAGGAATTACTCTTGGCGGTGCTTGGGGGACCCTATTGGATGCCGGGGATCAAACCCAGGTCGGCTGTGTGCAAGTCAAATGCCCTACCTGCTGTACTATCCCTCCAGCCCCCATACTCAGAAATTCTTGAGTTCCAACATGGTTAAAGTCTAGATGTGAGAATGTAATGAATGGAGTTCAACAACTATTTGGCGTTGGCTCCACAGGAGTCCTTAGGTCACTCCTAGAAGAGGTTGTCATCTTTCTTTAGCACCAGAAGCTGACCAAGGACCACATAAATCTTGTCAAAGCTCCCTTTCTCCAGTTTCTTTCCCAGGATTTCACGGATCCTGGCCAGGCTTCTCACAGGCTCTTCCCCTGTGGGCTCTTTCAGGATGTCTTGGTGCAGAGGGACCTCGTCATCTTGATCGTGCTTGCTTATTGGCTCCTCATGCCACCCAGATGATCCTGCTGATGTAAAGTGGGTTTTTCTTGTGTTAGTGGGTTCTTTGTGTAGTTGATGAAAGATTTGGATACAAAACCCAGATCGTAAGAGTTTAAATTTGGGGACCAGAGTGATAGTGCAGCAGATAGGGTGTTTAATTTGCAAATGGACTCAGGTTCAACACCCAGTGCTCTGAACACTGCCAGGAGTGATCCCTCAGCATAGAGCCAGGTATCAAGCTCTGAGCACTGCTATGTGTGGGCCAAAACCCAACATAAAGGATAAGAAGTTTTTATATTTTATTATATAGTTCAAAAAGCTGGGTTTAATTCCTTAGAGATGAGTCACGAATTAGTCTCTGGTGCAGACTACCACACCCTGGATGCCTCCAGTGTCTGATGGTCTGGTCTTGCCCCACGCCATTCAAAGCTTCACCTTTCCTAATCTGGAATCTTTTTCAGCTGAGAGGAACCCTGCCATCTATCTCCTTGCTGGGGCTTGCTGCTGTCACTGGGCCTTTCTGTACCCCAGCAGTTTCCTGATTCTGGCTTTTCTTAGTTTCTGGTCCTGCTGAAGCGAGACTCCTGTGCTCAGTACCTTATTGCTGTTTGGGTATAAGAGCTCTGCCTGATTTGGCTTCTGTGCTTTGCTTTTTATGACTTAGACTTCCTTTCATCTGTTGTTATTTTTTAGCTCCTTATTCATCCCATCACCTATTCTTGATTAGTGACCTTTTTGGGTGGATGAGATTAAAGTGATCAGATTAAATTAACCTTAAATTAATTCATTTTATGTGGCACTACTATTCCAGTCTCAGGACTAGCTCCTGAATACCACTTATTGTGGACCAAAAATAAACAAACAAACAAAATTAGGTTTCATAGAGTAGGTTCATGAAGAATTCTGAAAGTTTTGAACCTAAAACCAATAACTACCAGTTTAGGTTTTTCCAGAAAACATTACATATTCACTAATAAAGTAGTCTAATGACTAATGAGTCATTTTGTCTCAGTCTCTGATGAGATCATTGGGCCAGGAGAATGCAAACTAATTTCTTCAAACCTTAGAGGCCATCAGGTCATTAGGGAAACAGGACAGAGAGTACTAGTTTTTCATTGCAAAGGAACATTTTAATTACCCATATGGCACCTAAATTTAACTTATCTTTTTTTTTAAACATTTATTTATTTATTTTTGCTTTTTTGGGTTATACTGGCTTTGCTCCTGGCGATGATCGGGGGACCATATGGGATGCTGGGAATCGAACTTGGGTCGGTCGCATGCAAGGCAAACGCCCTACCCGCTGTACTATTGTTCCAGCCCTAAATTAAACTTATCTTACATGTGTTTTCTGTGGTTTTTTTTTGGGCCACACCTGCGTTGCTTAGAGATTACACTGGATCTGCATTCAGGAATTACCTGGTGATGCTTGGGGAACGATATGGAAAGTTGGTGACTGAATACAGGTTGGTGTATGCAAAGCAAGCACCATCCACTGTACTGTTGAACCGGCCCCCCTTATATTTATGGAAACTCTTACTTTTTAAAAAATTTTTGTTTTTGTTTTTGGATCACACCAGGCTCTGCTCAGAGCTTACTCGACTCTGAGCTCAGAAATTCACTCCTGGTGATGCTGGGGGTACCATATGGTGTGCTGAGAAAGACGTGGGTTGGTCTCATGCAAGGAAAGCTCTCTACTATCGCTCTGTTCCCCCTCTTATTCCTTTTTGTAGTTAATTTAAAAAAATAGATATCTACAGTGAGTGAGTAGGAGAGAGGTAATGTCAATTTATCACTGAACTAATCGAATTATAGCTGTAGTCAAAGATTGGTGGGTTTCGACCTCATCTCCAATGAGGATAAAGATTTCTGAGACATTTTGAAATTTTAAGACTCTTTCAAGGTTCCCAAATATCCTTTCCTCTGATTCCAGAGGTTTGGGGATAGAGGTTGAATATGGTTGTATCAGTTGACCTGAAACTTCATTACAGTGGCTCTTGTGAC